TGTGTAATATTATTACTCAAAAACAAAGCTTTCTTTTGCTATTTCATGTTTCATTCAATATCGACAAAGAGTGTGGTTCTTAATGATCTTGATTGTTCTACGAATATCGCAAGTCTTAAGTTCAAACAAAGCAGAAAAAGTTCGAAGATTGGATCGAAGATTATAATTGGATATTACAGTACTTGCAACTTTTAAGAACACTAGGGGATGTCCCGGGCTATGCCCCGGTAGGTTGGTTATAGATTTGGTTGCTATTTTGGTATGAAAAAAATTGTATCATGGTAGTGTTTCTAATTTTGTGGATTGAAAAGTAATTTATATATTTATTTTAAAAATTCAGAATTTATTTATGTAAAACATATATACAACATCGTACATAATTTAGTTCTATGCGAATATATTTTTAGTTACCCCTAACTCATTAATAATTTTAAAATTAATTCGATAATTTTAAAAAGAATTCAATAATTGTTTGCAAATGTTTATGCATATTTTTTTGTCCAAAATATCTCTCGATTTGAAAATTTGACAAATGTTGGAAAGCAAAAAATATGATAATATTTACATGTTGGTTTTGTCTCGTAAAAAAAATGCATGTCAAAGTAAAGTCTTGCTAATTAATCATTGAAATATAATATTTGGCAATGTGATTTCACAAAGTCATAAGTCGTTTTAATAGGTAGAAGACATTTTTCTTTTTTTTTGTCCTCACATAAGCAAGAAAAAKGATTTACTTGGAGGGAAACGCAAGTGTCTTGATAATTTTATTTTGTCAACTATGTTCAGTTAGTCTGCGTCTGATCATGATCTAAACATTGAACCAAAATGTATGACAAACTGAAAATGATGGAGGCGATGGAGCCATGGAAGGTAAATCCTCTTAATTGCGTAGTATATGTTGTTTACTTTYTTTTGATTTTTCTTCCGACTCTTTTGATCTTTTTTTAAGTTGCACCACATAAACCTTTTTTTATGGGGAATTGGTACCAATAACTATATAAAAAAATTATAATCCATTAAGTAACCAATTAATCTAAATTTTGTGGCTATTGTAGTTCCACATATGCCATTTTTGTTATTTTGCTAATTATAATTCATGTTTGGTTATTAAGTAAACTCACCCTTTTTTTAT